ACATAAGGTTGTGATCTTTAATTAAAAAGTTATTGTTTTAAAAGACATCTCTTCATGGCATTATTATATGTTTTATATAAATCCCTCACTATCACTTCATTTACATATAACACACACAACACAAATACAAGCACACCAATGTCAAACTCACTGTCTATGCCTTTGTGTGCATACAAAAATACAGTTAAATTATCACTTTGTAAAAGTTATTATTATCTTAGCTCAAATATTGAAAGTGCAGTTCGTATTCAAGGATTTTTATTATATCCTGAAAAAAGTTCGCTAGTTAACCCAATTTACATCCTATAAGATAAGAATAGACAGGGACAAATTAAATTTAAAAGAAAGTTGTCTTAAAAACATTATGGATCACTTTTTTCATTATATTTTTCTTCTTATACTCTTCAAAGAACTATCTCTGCCAACAATATATTCTGTTCACTTCTCATGCTCCTTATAATTCTTTGTTCAACTCACTTAACCCTCCATTGAAAAGTGAGTGCTATATTTTTTTCCCTCAAGGATTAATTATTCACTTTCATCATTTTGCATTTTGCGAAATCACCAGGCAATAGCAATTTCGAGTTGTTGTTCTTGAAAAAAATTAAAAAAAAAAACGCAAACTTTACATTAATCCGTGAACAAATTAAATGTCACAAAATATATAATAATTTAGAAGCTGGGGGATGAAATGATGAGATTTGGCGACAAGACATGTCCACAGATATATATCCGCGGGAAAATTATGAGTCAGATGAATTAGTTGGAAGCAACAAAGATGGTGTTTTTCACAAACACACCAACCCCTTTTACTATGCAAAATATGTTCAACGTATCTACAACAGCACGCAGAAACCTTTGTGTTCATAGTTACATCTATCTGTCTCCCACTCATCTATATATCTCACACTCTTTTATTCTATATATAGCCGCTTCCTTATCCAATCACAATTTTCTCCATTCATAAATTCACAGTGCCTTCTTTTTCTTCAATACACACACACACAAAAATGAAAATATGTGAGGAAAAATTCTAAATAAATGCCTTCAAAATTTGAAAATATCAAATCACTTATTCCAATTCCAATAATCTCAAATCAGTCTACTTTATAAAAAAAATATGTTTTTATAATATTATTCCTCAATTTTTTAATTAAAAAAAGCCACCTCGGGGGGTACGCGACCAGTTACATCTTGCCACCGAAGCTCTGATGTGAAATTAATAAGTAAAATAACAAGGATGAAACTTCAAATTTAATAGATACTACTAGGAAAAAAGTTACACTAAAAGAGGTAAATTTGTTTGGATCTCGCAATATTCATATCTATTTATTATTAGTTGGTAATATTAATTAGATACAGAATAATTGTACCAAAATAAATATGTGGTAGTTTGGTTAATTAATCGAAGCAAAAAAATGACTCCAAATTACCATAAAACATCCAAGCGGAAAAACTGATTATAGGAATTCACATCTCAAAAAACAAAAAACATTAAAAGAATTTAAAAATTATTGTTATTTTTCACGATGAAATTATTATCAAGCATTACTGCGATTATTACAAAATTTTAAGAAGGTTTAGTTGCATTTTAAAGACTATGATAGAATTACTTCGAGTTTATAATTTTCTTAAAATTTGATGCTATTCTCTTTTATATAAAAATTGATCATAAGTCTAGAAAAATTAATAATATCTTATTCCTAAAAAAAGAATTATGTTCTTTAGGAGTTTTAAATGATATAATTCTCTCTTTAAAACTTCACATTTTCTTTTGGTAAGATAATTGGAGCTAGACAGGTAGCCAACCCTAGCTAGGCTTAGGAATTTCCACAGAGACAAGATTGTGATTTCTGTTTAAAAAAGAATTCGATGTGTAACATTACTCTGAATAAGCACTACCACCCAACCAACTCACCCCCACTTTAAAAGTAAAGATTTCAATAATTCTCAGATATATTTGTTTCAATCAACATGTTTCTCCATCACCTCTAGATTCTCTAGCTAGTTTAACTTTCTTCTATTCTAAAGGTGGTAATTTTTTTTAAAGGTTTTCACCATAAGAAATGATCACAGAAAATGAGAACATTTGGATAGCTTCTTAGGGAGGAAAAAAAAGCACAGATACATGCACCTTCAGTTTGCAGCAGCAATTGGAAATGAATATTAGTCTGATTCGAGTCGTGCTGGTAGACATTGTTCTTAAAAGTTATTCTGTCACCATAGGTAAATATGAATACGATACTCCCTAGGATTAAACGAATTATTCCTACAGGAAACAGGGTGACAACACAGCAGAAACAAAACTATAACTTAGCAACAAAGAGAGGGAAGAAGCGAAGAAACACAAAGGAGAAAGGATGCTCGAAAGCTCAAGCGTGGTGTGCTCAACACACTGTCCCAAACTGCTTTATATAGACCTCAGAGGATTTGAACATTGGGCACCATAAACACAATTAAACTATTAGTTTCATATGTTTCCACCATAAACTGCATTTACACCTTCGGTTATGAACGTTATATGCATTCAAGACTTGAATTTGTGGCGTTACCAAGCATTAATCTATGAAAATGGTTTTAAAGATTAATGACAGGATAATCCCAGTTTAATAACAAATGAAACTCCCTAATGTCCAGTAACCTCTGGCCAATTAAAAAATAAATGGTTAAAATAAGGATTTTCTGATAAACTCTCTTCACACAATTTCATAATTTATTTTTGCAAAAGTGTTATGTAAAAAGTGCCCAGTGCTATTTTAATTCACCCGCAAGGGGGAATCGCCAGTTTTCAACTACATTTTCTTCGGTGTGCTGTTGTCGTGCGCATGAGATCTTCCTTCTCCTTTAGACTCATTCACTAGCCTAATAATATATGCTAGTATTTATACCATGGAGCTCCCTCTCTCTTGGACAATGTGAAACTTCACTTTTGACATACCCACTCATATACACAACACAATTTATAGTTCATTTAAATACTCTTCACTTGTTTTCTTATTAATGAATCAATACTAATATTAAATACAAAATATATAACATGGGGAGGCACCATCAACAAGTCATGCATGGTTATACTTATTCTTCGAATTTGTATAATGTATCAGTAATCCACCTAATTTTAAAACAAGAATGTAAGATGAAAATTTTAAAAGGACAATTCACTCATTTCGGAATGACTATAAATATAATGTGTTAAATGTTAAAATATAACCAATTAGCAGACAAATTTTTGGTTTTGAAACTGGATGTGATACTTATAAATAAGTTAAAGGACTATATTTGATTTCTTTTTTTTCCATTATAATTCCTGGGGGGAAACACAGAATTGGGTGGCTCGAAGATCCATGCCCATGACAAGGCCCATAGATTTCCCAACAATAATGTGCAATACAGCAAATTGCGAAATAAGCAATAAGGAGAATCATTGTACTTTGATGCGTGTCTATTTTGGGCAACAGGATAAGAAAAAATCATTGAGGGTGGGCCAGCCAAAAATGCTAGTCCGTGAAACAGAAAAAATAATCAAGGGTAAATTTTGACCCTACAGAATTATAGCAGCATCAAGATATAGTTCTAAATCCACTGAAAGGATTTGGTATCAATTAGATCTAGTTGTGGCATTTACATCAGATTCCTTGTGGAAACAGGGGCTCAAAAGAAAACAGAATCCTCAACTTTGTTGCAGAACCACTCAGTGGAGTGCCAAATCTCAACCCAATTCATCAGAAACTCAATTCAATCAACTCAACATATGTGGTAAATGCCAGCAGATGATGCAGCATCATATTAATTAGCAGTGCAAGAAAATAAAATGCATCGTAGAATCAATATATAGATATATAAGGAGAAGAATGTATTCGCTGAACTAAGTGGGGTGTGGATTCTCAAGAGATAAAAAGGCTGGGATCTGAAATTTTTGCGCCATTGCGGGCTTCCAGTATATTGACTCTAGGTTAACATCCGCCAACAATGCTGTCGTAATGGCGAGAATAAACAAGTGTGATTAAGAGGACAGCATCAAGGACACACACACACACACGAATATATATTCGTCCTATAATTTGAGCTCTCAAGACATTGTAATATTTAGCACAGACCCTTTCTGTCATGAGGTACACAAGGAAAACAGATAGAGTAATAATTTCACAAGCAAAAGATGGAATCAACAAGACAATGAAATCTGTAAGAATAGAGTGTGGTCTCACAACATGAGGTTCCGAAAGTAGCAGCAGTCACTTCCTGAAACAGTTCGTGTTAATGGCAAGTATAGGACATGTTTTCCACTATGCTTTTGCCATACAGGAAGTCTCCAGAACAAGGCTTACAAAGTGATGTAAATAGTTAGAATCCCTTTTAGCTCTCCCTCAATAATCCATGAATCGGTTCACTCCAGCAAAGTTTACACATTTTTTTGGTAAATATGTTAACCTGTAATTGATTATGGGAGGATACCAAGCAGGGGACGGAATTTTCTAGATCAAACACTCCGCTCAGAAATTCCGCGTCATTGACATCTTTCAAGCTTTCCTACTGTCAGAAATGAAATAAGATAATACTAGGCACATAGAAGCTTGACAAGCTTATCTCAAGAGGTTTCATTAGTGAATACATTACAGCTAAATTACACCGAAGCTAATCAGCAGTGTCTACACAGAACAATACCCTATAAACAGGAATAATTTGCGAATCACCCAAGATCTGACGCTGAAAATCAGATTGCAACTTGACCCGCAAAGCGCAAGAAATAGTCAATGATGAATTAACAAGGAGTATGATATAGAAATACAGAAATGAGCAGCCTAACAAGTATGTCACGATCAATGCTTGGCTTGAACAAGTTGGGCTCAATATCTACCAAAATTTCTGATACACCACAAAGGCTCTAGAAAGTTGCGGTGATGAAATATGAAATCCGTTAATGTACTTCACAGAGCCAATAAAATCTTAATGTTTATCTTCTGGACCTAATTTTTAAGATCAGCATAGAAGGCCACCCGTAATTTGTAGCTCATAAAACGAAGAATCATTAATAAGTCTACCAATTCCTCAGCAATAATTATGTAAAGTAACAGCTATATACGCTAGAAGCAAACTATTAATACAAGACCATAAGCTTACCAGGTGCACAAAACTTTTGACACTAAAGGGAATGGCCATAAATGAATGTTCATATATCTTGGTTCTTGTAATTGCGCTGCCACGCATGAGAGGTTCCATTCTCACCAATTATGCCAGTTCATATTAACCATTTCAATTTTGTCCATGCTAGTGGTGAAATAAAGTCCTTAACAAAACGAAGAGGAAGTGGCTGTCCTGGCAATACGGTTAAGCAAATATATTCAGGTTATCTCCCATGTGTAATGCCTTCATCAAGGGCCTCCTGTATGGCTGACAGTATAGTCCCGATCATTCTATGGGATTACACAGAGAGAACCAAAGGAATCTACCACAGTTTTCACTATTTGCAAAACTGGCCTTCAATCTTGCTTAGTCCAGGCAATTTTCTCAGACCACCAGTTATGTTATCTCTCACTTTCTTCACATCATCCCACCTACCATCACTAGCATAGATATTAGAAAGCATAACCCTGTAAACATCATTATCAGGATTGCTCTCAAAAAGCCGATGAGCTATGGTTTCTGCCAGATCAGAATTTTCACATGAATTGCAACATGATAGGAGAGCTCCCAAGATGCCTTCTTCTACAGGTTCTGGCAAGGACTGAATGAGATTGTAAGCCTCTTCTAATTCCCCTGCACTCCCTAGAAGTTTCACCACATAAACATAATGCTCAGTTTTGGCTTCAATGTCAAACTCATATTTCATCCTCCTGAAAAGCTCCCGGCCATCTTGGACAAGGCCGGCATGGCAACAAGCACAAAGGAGAGAGGAGAAAGTGGACTCATCAGGTACTACACCTTTATTGAGCATCTTATTAAAAATCCTGAAAGCCTCAAAGGCACATCCATGCAAGCCAAGACCTGAAATTATAGAATTATAAGAAACTATATTCTGCTTTGGCATCAATTCGAAAACTCTAGTTCCTGAGTGCAAGAAACCACACTTTGAGTACATGTCTACAAGAGCAGAAGAGACCATGACATCTGATCCCAATCCATTCCGAAGAACATAACCATGTATCTCACGTCCAGGCCCTACATTTGCTGACTGAGCAATAGAAGCCAATACACTAGCAATTAAAACGGTATCTGCCTTCTTGCCTTTCATGTTCAATTCCCTGAAAAAAAGCAGAGCCTTCACATAATCTCCAGTCAGAGAATATCCAGCTATCAGAGCAGACCATGTAACTAAATCAGGTTGGAATATACTTGCAAAGACTTTGTAAGCTGAAGTCATGCACTTACATCTCGAGTACATGTTCACCAGCAAACTAACTACATGAGAATTAAAATCAAACCCATTTTTCAGACTTAGACCATGTATTCCATGACCAATTCTGAGCAAGCTAGAATCTGCCACATTTAAAAGCAACCCAACTATTGTATATCCGTCTGGCTTCTTCCCAGCACGCCGCATTGCGTTGAATGTTTGCATCCCTTTATCACATAAACCAGAATACCCATAACCAGAAATCAAAGAATTCCACAAAACCAAATCGGGTTCAGAAATCCCATTAAACACTCCACCGGCTTCATTGACAAGGCCGAATTTAGAATAAGCTGTCACAAGAGCACTGCCACAAACAGAGTCCGATCCTAACCCAGAGACTATGGCCCTCCCATGAGCAAGTCTCAGGCCAGCAGAATCGAAATTCTCGGAACATGCACGTACAATACAAGCGTAAGTGAAATTGTCAGGTCTTGTGTTGGTTGTAAGCATGTTATTAAAAAGAGAAAATGCACTGCGAAACCTCTGGGCTTGAGCGTAGGCTCGAATCAAGGAATTCCAGAGGTAGACGCTTCGAGTGGGAGTTTTGTCGAATACATGGTGGGCATAATTAACGTCACCATTAGCTGCATACTGCCTGATAATTTGAGTTGCGTAAAACGGATCTTCCGAGAGATTGGACTTAATTACCAAAGCATGCAATTTCTTGACCCTCAACAAGGATTTGCAAATTTTGCAGAGTTCGGATTGAAGTAAATCAAAATGACTCTGCATTAAATAAGCAACTTCAGTTCAACTATGCGCTTTCTTGATCCTGGACACATCATCGCTGATAAGATGACTTAAGTTTGATTCTTGGAGTTGCTTATTAGGAATTGCAGCTTAAATGTGCTGATTGAACCTTTTCTTCCAAAGTTTGGCCAAAAAAAGAACCTTTTAATCCGAAGTCAAAGGGGAGGGCAAGGAGATTGAAGTGGGAGGATGGGGCATGTTGTGACTTGTGAGTTGCGAGCGACGTGATATGAATAAGGTCAACATGTTTTTTTTTTTTTTTGGGTTTGTTGACCAGCGTATAGTAACTCGTTACGTGTTTTCTCCTAACTTTTTTTTTTCAATACAAAAAAAAAGGTTCATGTAAGTTAGATCCCGGAAACTCACATTCAAGCCAGGCTTTTTTTTGTTATTGGGATAGGTGAATTCTCATAGATCCATCCTCCAAAAGAACCTGACATGATAATTTTTCATCATTTGGCTCGAGCATGAATCAAACATATCTATCTAAAAAATTTATATGTTATACACACATATTATATATGAATATGAAGATTCTATGTACGAAAAAATTTAGCAGAGTTTCTTTTCCGGGGCTACAACTATCTATTGCAAGAAAATCTGTGTGAGTTATAAGCCGACTCCTTACTAATTGGACCAACTCTTATTGGTTTGTCCTAACCTTTTTTAATCATACAGAAAAATTCCAATTTCACAGTCAGCGTTATACACATTATTTAACTCAAAAAGAAAATAGTCTGATTAATTTTCTTTATACCACTTACTAAATATTTTCGAAAGAATTTCTGGCATTGAAACCAATCTTATTAATCACTACGAACTAAATATCTTTCTCCTAGAGATGCAGATAAGAGATTAAGATAATTTTAAAAAATTGCGCATTGTTTATAGTATATAAATAATTTGACTCATTTGATAGGAAGTTGTCCCTTTATTTATACATTGGTCTCCCAAATGGGCAGAGAATGAGGAAGTAATACAGGGCCCACGTTGATTCTACCTAAATCTTCATCAGATTCACATTGAAACAGTGAGATAGATGTGAGAGATCATAGACGAGCGGAAGGCGGAGGAGCCGCCGCACGCTGTGAAGAGGCTCGGTTTCTGGTAGGGGCAGGAGGCGGCAGTGGAACTCTTCTCGACCTCACTACCATCTTTCTAAAGTTCAACGCCATTGATGAACTCTTCTCTTCATCACCTTCATTTCATTCAGTAAAAATCAGTACATCTTCCATTTTTCAAAATTATTAGCTTTATATGTAACTTTTTTTTTTTTGCCAACTTTATACATAACATATATGCACATATATACTGGAGGAGTTAATTATTGAACTATCACAGAAATAATTACCATAGGGAAGATAGGACGAGGTTGGTACAAAGTTACCCAGAAGGAGCAAAGCTATCAGTATTGTAGCAATCAGCTTCACCTGGATCTGAACTAATGCTCCCATTATGGAGATGCAAGCTTGATCCTAGTAGGAGCGCAAGGTTTAAGATTTTATAGTGGAGCCACGTCCTTTGTTTATTCATAGTTTCATGGTATTAATTACTTCCTCCTATGCAAACCTACCAAAAAAAAGTTGACTTTTCTTGTGGTTTTTGTTCCTTTTAGCATTCAAATTGGTTGTTAATTTAATCTCACTTAATGTAACATGTAGTTGGCGTTGCAGAAATTCAGCTCAACTTGATTGACCAATTTGTTGTTCGATCACGAATATTGTTCAAGGAAAGTAAGACTTTGAATATAATAACCCATGTATTTCCTTCGTTTACTCAGCTCTGCTTAAGCATTAAGGGTCAAGTATCGGCAATTTAATTTATTGATTCTGAGCTGGCTACGTTTACTTGTTATAGATTTTATATTCTCCTCAATTTGCCCCATGCGTCGCAGGTCCTGCTAACGGATTTACTATAATGCTCTCCAGTTATGTACTATCTCCTGTCCTAATTATAAGAGCTAATTGACTAATTTGAAGAGATTAAGAAAATAAGTTAAGTTAGTTATTTGTAATAAATAGATGTTGTCTTTTTTAAAATATCCTTGCCAATCAAGTGTGTTAACTATAATAACCATTATTAAAAGAACTATCTTGGGAAAAAAATACACAGATATTAGAGACAAAATATATTAGGGTCTTATATTTAGGACCAAAATAAAAATCAAACGAAGTCTTATATTAAGAACCAAAGGTAGTATTTCCCATGCATGCTTTGACTTTTTCTTTTGTTCTGATTTTTTAAGGAATAATTCAGATCAACTAGTGAATCAAGTTGTGAGCCGGTGCTTTCACATTATAAAAATTCGTCAGAGAAGCTTCGTCTACCAGATCAGAGTTCAATGCATGTCTCATTTAATTTGCCTAACAAGGAAATATTGTACGAGAAAATATGAACAGTAAAGGGTTGACTTCAGATGGCACAAGCGACCAAGTGGGATGAATCATAAATGAGCTTTCATTGAATTGGATGAGTAAAAAACTGTTTGTCTTGTTTATATACCAAAATAACAACTCTGTTACAGCCTTATCTGCTGGCTATATTGATAAGTTTTTACAACAATCCGAATAACAACTCCTGTATAAACAAAATACACACATCATCATGGTGTCTCAATTATAAGAATGAATTAATGCAGTTCCAGCTTCTCTCGTCTTCCAATCCCTCTTATCTACAAGATCCCTGCTTTACACACAGTATCTTCCTTAGCTTCTCATGAAACACAGCAAAGACTTCAATTCATTTGCAAAATGGTCACCGTCAAGTAAACATATCATTCACTTTCCTCTCAAATTGCCCAATTAACTGTAAGAACATGCATAGCATGTAAGCAATTCATCCACCTCCCAATTAAGTGGTGTTTGATTTAAAACATTTCAAATAATTTTACGACGTACAAGATAAATGTGGGGGGAATTTAGTCTGGTAAAGTGCAAAAATAATTTTTGGAGGGGTTTTCATCGTGTCTCCTTGCATAATATTAACCCAACCCTCAGGCCTTAACATTAGATTAAGGCTCAAAATATTAAAAGAGCGCCTTGGCTTGTGACAAATTAATCATTAAGCAGATGGTTAAGAAAAAGCTTAATCATTGCTAGCTACGTCCTGATAATGTATATATGGTATGAAATCAGAATATGCTCAAGCAATAAGACCAGAGATGTAGTATAATCTCTGTACCTCTTATATATGGGAAGGCAAATTTTGGCTCCTAGCATTAACCTCTTCATCATCATGCATCTGAATCAGAATCTGCAATCCTCAAACAGCGCCGGCGTGGTCTTCTATCCAAGTCCTCTTCTTCCTAAATACATACAGTTATTAAACCACAAGAAAGTGGAACGTGGGGCGCCAAGATCAGCAACTACTAATAACTAATTAAGGAACAACCTCTTCTGGAACTTCACTGGTGGATGGTGTTGTCTGAAAAGGCACACTGGGAGCATGAGGAAGTCTGGACAGTTGTTCCAGTAGTATTATCCTGCAATAAAGAAGAAATTTCAAATCCTCGATCGGGTGTGTTTCGGCAATAACACATATAATTATGTTACTTTACCTCGTCAGTTCCAAATCCTCGGGTGTGTTTCGGTTCTGCATGTATCGAGGATTAACATGAAGGGTATAATCTGGACCAAAACAATCATAATAATCATTGTAAGGCAAGTTGTTATCAGGTTCCACTCCAACTGCTACTGCTGTCTACAGTACAAGAACATGCGATCATAAAAAATTATCCATGAGATCTTGAAAGAGAGGCAAATTATTAGAGACATAAACCTCGTAACACCAGCAACGAGCAACATTCTGAACCGTATATCCTCCCCCGCCTAGGACCATAAGAGGGACATTGAATGATCTGAGGAAACGAAGCGAATCTGCATGGCCTTTCACAGACAAGTTGAAAGGACCCAACTTGTCACCGGACAACGAATCGGCTCCGCATTGTAGAACAACAGCATCGGGCTGATAGACATCCATCACTCTCTGAATTATGCCCCGAAATAGAGAATTGAAGCTATCATCGTCCATTCCATTCTGTAACGGCACATTGAGGGCGTAATTTTTCCCAGGACCCGACCCAACGTCGAATATGTGTCCAGTGCCGGGGAAAAATTCGTCCCCGTACTTGTGAAAAGACACGGTCATCACTCTATCCGTGGTGTAAAAAGCCTCCTCCACACCATCTCCATGGTGGACATCAATGTCAACATAAAGCACACGCTGCCCAAGGACAATGGAGAACGGGTAATATATACGAGGATTAGGAAAAAGTTCAAGAAAATGGCAAAGAAATTGAAAGTACCCTGTGAACTTTAAGAAGCTCGAGAATGCCGAGGACGATGTCATTGACATAGCAAAAGCCTGCGGCCTCACGCTTCTTAGCGTGGTGCAAGCCGCCGGCCCAATTGATGGCGATATCGGCATCGCCACGATTCAATATTGCGGCAGCACCTATGGAGCCACCGGCTGAGGCCCGACAGAAATCGAATAAGCCATTAAAGACGGGGCAATCCTGGTCAAGGTTGAAGCGTCTGAGCTCACGGAAGCAAGCGTTGCCTTGGGTGCTCTGGGGCGAGACGGTGGAGAGGAAGTCAGCGTAGTCTTCAGAGTGGAAACGACGGATGTCTTGTACAGTGGCCGGGAAGGGACGGACGGTTTGGAAGTGGCGGTGGAGGTTATATTGGACGATGAGATTGTGAGCCATGCGGATTCGGATGGGTTTCATGGGATGGTCACGTTGGTATTCATAGTCACCAATGGTGGGTTCGTAGAAGTAGAAGACCCGCCGATGTCTGCCATCGGGACCTGACGGTAACGAAGTGCCACCGGCTGCACTGTCACCCATGTGATTTTTGGGTTATCATATGGAAAGCTTCACACACCTGATTCAAGAACAAGAAAGAATTGAAAGACGTGTCTGGCAAAAATTGATGAGTTAGAAGGACAAGAAAAATAAGCGACGGCTGCTGAGAGGATGAGTAAAAGATAAATTTAGGTTTACGCCTTCACCTAGATTATTTTTCTAAAAAAAAAACCCCCATAATCCTTTATTTATTCTACAAAAAATAATTTAAATATATTTATTTTAAAA